GCTGTCTCACTGTATTATTTGTCAAACTGTGGGTGTTATCTCGCTGTCTCACTGAGCTATTTGTCAAACTGTGGATATTATCATGCTGTCTCACTGTACTATTTGTCAAACTGTGGATGTTATCACAATAACTTGCTGTGCTATTTGTCAAACTGTGGATGTTATCACTCTAACTTGCTGTGCTATTTGTCAAACTGTGGATGTTATCATGCTGTCTCACTGTACTATTTGTCAAACTGTGGATGTTATCACAATAACTTGCTGTGCTATTTGTCAAACTGTGGATGTTATCACTCTAACTTGCTGTGCTATTTGTCAAACTGTGGATGTTATCATGCTGTCTCACTGTACTATTTGTCAAACTGTGGATGTTATCATGCTGGCTCACTGTACTATTTGTCGAACTGTTGATGTTATCACTCTGTCTCACAGTACTATTTGTCAACGATGTGGTTTGCTGTGTATGAGATCTTACTGTATGTGTGTGTATGTATATATACCCTACAACGTCTGTCTGTCCTTGTCTCCCACTCTAACGTGTGTCTCTGTCTATCCCTGTCTCCCACTCCAACATCTGAGCAGTGCTACTGACTGAAGTTGTCTTTAGGCTATTCCCAAAGGGGGGATATTAACATGTTCTTATGCACAGTAGAATTGTAAATGGACTGATTTATCAATGTCATGCGCATACTTTGGCGAAGCAACATAGGGGGAACTGCTGCTTTTTCTTTCCTTATCCTTACTATTGTCATTTTTTTCCTCTACTTCTGTTGTATGTTTGTCTGTCTTGTGAACTGCTATTTCCGGGGTGCCTTGATAGTCAAAGCAGACTTTGTGTGCTGTTGAGGCTAGAGAGGTGAGCAGAGTAAGCCTGATTTCCCCGTTTGGACTTCCCCTTGGCGCTCATATGACGGTATGCAGTTGCGAGCGCTGTAAATCCTTACTAAGTGGGTGGTTGGCGGGTGCTCTGGTGTGGTCTGCTTCTTCTTTCCTATGAAACATCCATCGTCCTTGTCTCTCCTCCTTTTTTAGTATCTGTCTGTCTGTCTGTCTGTCTGTCTGTCTGTATGGGTGGTTGGCGGGTGCCCTGGTGTGGTTTGCTTCTTCTTTCCTATCAAACATCTATTGTCCTTATCTTTCCTCCTCCTTTTTTGTGTTTGTTACCCTCTTGTAACACCTCTGATCTTCGGCACTTATATGACCTTATTGTGTTGCAAGTGCCGTAAAACTCTTAATTAAAAAAAAAAATTTTTTTGGTGTATTTTTGTTACTTCTTGTACTCTAATCTTCTGGCGCTCACATGACCTTATGCAATTGTGAGCGCCATAATACTTCTACTA